ATTTCCCCTCCCTCGTCGTTCCCGCGCTAAAATTAATGTATTTAAATTGGCTGCGATAAATAAGTGCCTCTCTCGTGTGGCCGTTATCTGATTTCTCCGGATATCTCGATTCACGGTACACGCCTCCGCCGGCGTCCCAGCTGAATCGGGCCCGTTCCGTAAATTCGAAGATTCGAGATACAGTGAGTACGTTTTCGTTCGAAATGAATCGTACCGCGCCGCGGGAATAATTGGACGGTTTTTCGTTTTCGTACGAACCCGATGACACGTCTCTATTTTCTCGCGATTATATGTAAATCCCGAACAGCAGATAGAACGGTATAGAACGGAAGCGTGTAGGGGAAAGAGAAGAAGAAAAAAAAAAGAGAAATCGACCCGGTCCGTCGTCGTTCTTTTCTCGGTTACGAATCGCGTGTCGTTGTGAATGCATTCCTATTCCGATTAGGCTAGGCGGCTGCATTTCGAGGAATGTTACACGCACACACAACACACACACACACACAGAGCCGGGGATGCACGCAATGGAGCTGCATTGATTCGCAGATATAGAGAGGCGAGGCCCTTCCCCCCTCGCCAGGCTTAGGGCGGAGGTCATGGGTAATGGAGTGCACCGTCACGTTGCTATGGGAAATTCGGGATTCCCGGGGTAAAGGATGGAGCCAACGGGAGGAGAATAGGATATGTGCACGACGTAGTCGATCGAGGGGGTTGCGGTGACGCAGGTCGTTGCTGATCATTCTCATTGAATTAAAAACGAGACCGTTTGTATAAGAACACCGTACTCGGACGAATTTTTCCCGTTCGGGGATATACCACCGCCATAACATTTTCGTTCGGTGAATTCCGATTGTACCCAACGCCGATGATTACGTTTCATTCCGCGCGCATGGTAATCGAAGAATGAAAAAAAAAAATACGTTTCCGCCTATCTTATCGTCGCGCGAAAATTTAAGAGTCCCAACGAGAACAATGGCAAGTTCGATCATGATGCATCGATGCTGAATTTTATTCGGTGCACCGAAGACTGTCGCCGACGAGATTTTGTAGGAATTTGGAAAACGGAGTCTGGGAATTTCCACGCCCAAAGATTACACACGGACGTGGAGATCAAACGCAAGAGATGCATAAAACGAAGGACGCGCACGCGATTCTCTCGTTCGTATCGCGAGCCACACACGTATATACGTACACTACATTTTCTACCGACATCTTTCCGTTCGGCAATTATGCTCGCTGCTGCTAATTATTACAGCCGAAGCAGCAGCAGCACCCGCAATTTCGTCGGTTACGTAACGGCCAGGCTGTAACTCGTTTCATTACGGACAATCTATACCGCCCACGTTTCCTATGCATCCTATACGTATATGTCATTGTTCGTCCGGGGCCTGGTCGCGTCGAGAGACCCCGAGCTAGGGATGTTCGATTCCGATACGATTTCGAAGATCGATTCTCTTAGGTAATACGTCACTGCTATGTATAACATATACACCAATGACCAAAACTATGGGTACAGGTCTGATAAATAAATAAAGAAATGTCATTCTACGAAGAGCTAATGAAGGTATCGTGTTATCTTTTCATTTTTTTCAATTCGAATCGCGGTACAGATGTGCTATCTCTGACTTCGCGCTATTAAGAAATGCACGCGATTCCCCTCCTTACAAGTTTCGCATGCGGTACGCGGCTATCGAAGCGAACAAAAAAAAAGAGAAAAAGACCTGACACCAGCATGAATCTTTACGAATTCATTTACATCCTTACGTAACCCCCCGTGCATCGATGGAATCGACGCATGGTCGCGATCGTGTTGCTTCTCCCAAGCGTGCACGAACGACCGGAGTGCACATAGTCGGGCGTTTGGAATTAATTTGCACGTCAGTCCTTTTGATACGCGCGCGCGCGCACGCTGCTGCTGGCTGGCTGGCTCGCGAGACGCGCACGAAAGTATCGGCCGCGGCGGCCCGGCAAAAGAGCGGAATAAAAACGAGCCAGTCGGGGCTCTCGTGTATTATACGGGCGCGGCCGAGCGTGTCTTCGTCACGTTGTCGTATTTAAACATTGACAGAAGCAAAAGGGGGAAGCAGAGCGACGCGGCGTTGCATTATAACGTACGAGTACCGGACAATTTTATAACTACGCGAGAACACGCCGTCTTTTTTTGTTTTTTTTTCTTAATTAAATTTCTTTATCCCGCACTTCATCCGACCGGTTAAACTGCCGCTTCGGTTCTATCGGCGGGGGGGGGGGGAGTGCCCCCGGCGTGTAACGAGTGCTGACATCGGCGATACACTTAACTATTATTTACCTTCAATAAAAAAAAAAAAATTCTCTCTATCTCGTGATAACCGTGCCGAGAGTGTATAACGTTTCCGAATGCCCGATATCGTCGAGAATGTGTGTCTACACCGGCCCAAGTACAATGGCGTGTATTGTGTTATCGCGATGTCCATTTAAATGCTTCAACATAATCGGGAGGGGATGTACATTCGCGAAAATACATACACCCTCGTGTCGCTATTTATATGTATATATGTATGTATATGTATACATATATTGTTCGGCGAGATAAGATTTGTATGCAGAAAATGAAAGATGGCGACAAGGTCCTCTTTATAGTCGCGTCTCGACGTTTCAGCGTGCACACGCGCTAAAGCGTGTCTTCGCTCGCGCGTGACAAAGACGATTCATCGATCGACACACCACGGGGATCCCATTGGGCGCGTGGAACACTTTAACAATTCAACCGAGGGCAACATCGACGATGATTAGACTTTCGAATCACGATTCCGTACGTGCGTGTGTGTGGCGGGTGAAGTGAATATTGTAAAATGGGTTTGCAAACGTGGTCGAGATTCGATGGTTTCCCAGGCAGCAGCGTCGTAGCGACGATAGAATTATTCCGCGGGATGTAATTGTTCGAATGGACACACAACCCTAGGAATGCACGGTTGAGAAAATTTTTATCGAGAATGGTTCGCACGGCACTTAGGTATCTAATAAACACGCGTGAAAAGCGAGGCCGCGCCTCCTTCGACACGATTCGCGCAACATACTATGTACCTCTCGATATATACACGCGCCAAAAGGAAATGCGTGTCTTGCCACGACCGGTAACGTCGAATATCTAGGAATGCGGTGTGTTTGATCGTATATCTTTAAACGTGGAATCAAGTGTGCTTGTAAAACGTTCCTTCATTCCCTTTTCGTCGTTTCGAGACGTACCCAAGGAAATCCAGTGTACGCTGAAACATACTTCTGTACCGTTTCGTTTCGCTGTGTAATAGACGGACGTAAGCGGGCTTCCCGTTTTGTCTGTCCACCGACGTCCCTATTCCACTTCGAGCTGCGCGAGTACTGTTTCGTACGGGATGAGTTTCGATGGACCTTGACGAACGGGGCCAGGATTGTCCCCTAGCTTGTGGGGGGGGGGGTTACAAGGGAACAGCCGAAACAGTTACGAGAACACTGGGTTCTGTCGAAATAACCTTGGGCTACAATTTAATCCGAACCCCTTCGAAAACCTTGAAAGGGTCTATCAATTGGCTTTTCGACGGGAAATCGATCGGTCTTCCCATGACTATGCAGGGCGAAGGGTTGGCACGGTTGGTCGATGGTACTGTGACCTTGAACAGGACACACTACGAAAGGGCGCCTGCGCGGGGTCGGTTTCGATCATCCTACGTCCGGGGATCCTTGTATCGCGTCCCCTTTCCTCCCCGCCCGGATCCCCTCTACTTCCCCTTCCTCCCTTCCTCCCCTTTTACCTTGGAAAGTCGCTTTTCACTTTCACGTCCCTTTCTTCCCTTTCCAGTACACTGCGCGCGGCCCTTTCATGTGACTCGAGTGCCGGGAAGCCCTTCGAGCGCGCGAGAGCACGTGCGTACGCACTTGAACGTATCGCACGCAGGGTTCTCTCGCGATAAGAGCGAGAGGGGAGAGTAAAGACCCGATCGTAAAGAATGAAATCTGATTCCGGCCTCGTCAGCATTGACGTTTACGACACGCGAAAAAGGGAATACATGGCCTTTGATTCCTTTTTCTCTTTTTTCTTTCGAAGGGATGGGGGGGGGGGGAGCGTTCTTTCCTGTTTCCCTGGGCGAATTTCGTCCATTGAAATTTTTTTCGATATTTTATTACCCAGTTTACTTCAACGCCTCCGGGGCGATGGAATTTTGATCTGTTTCGGATCTCTGAATCATCGAGAGGATCTACGTTTGACACGAACGACCATCGTTAAGAGGGAGGGGAGAGTCTTTTGTTAACCAAGACACGTATCACCCACGCACAGAAGCGGTCCAGCTCGATTTAGTCACGAACGATCGCGAACTTATCACCGTTGTCTTTTCGCTTAGACGTGACTTTTATATCAGCCCGGTCGATCGTTTTACTCGGTCACGCGTAGGGAACTACCGAAGATGCGTTCGTTCGGTGGACTCGATCGCGGCTGGACCCAGATAAGACGAAGCCCCTGAGTCCACGACAGACCGATTGCGATTCGATGGTAATTTCTAATTAATAGTGCGAACGTGTTCAGGCTCCATCGAGCAATTTCTTGTAGAAGCATCGGTGTTACAGCTGTCTGTGGTATCTCGATAAGAAGTTGGAGCGTATCTCTTGGTTCAGACAGCTGTGATCGACAATTGCTTCTTGCAGAAACGAGCGAGATTATTTGTAAATCTGTTACGTGATTAGAATCGTCTACCTCTGCCATGAATTGGTGCAATTACGTTAACCGGCAAGCCCTTGCTCCCGCTGTTTCGATCGGTAAATTACGTACAGAACGTTTCTTCGTTCGGAAATCCCTCTGGTTCGCTCGTGAGCAAAATTAGACGAGATTTCGAGCGTGAGAAGTGTGCGGGTCAAGCGTGGAATGGATGAGAATTTCCACGAAGCCGGCTTCGATCGGTTCGCGAGACCTCGGGGCCCGGCTGTCGCTACGTACGGAGGTGGATCCATGTAAAGGCCACGGAAACAGCCGAAACAAGGCGGAAGGGGCCGAACCGTAACGCCGACGGTCGAGCACGAGCTACCCTCGACAGGCTGCGACTGCTATGGCTATTGACCGAACTTGGCGGACCGGCCGGTCAGCTGTGCGCCGAGCCGCCGGAGAAGATATTTTCTCTGGCAGAAAATCGTCCGCGTAAAGTCGTTACGGGTTCGCGGAGGATGGCAACGGCGAGAATATACAGTGGGGGCGTTGAAAATACAATCCGGTGTCCCGTTATAAAATTGTGAGCTTCTACATCGAGATCGGCAAAGGTGGAAATAAGGTAGAAAGAACGGGCAGGAAGACAGAGCCCGATAGAGAGGCCGGAGACAGAGTACGTGTCAATTGTCGTAAACGATTATTGCTCCCGATAGATGGAGAAATTCGTGGTGTTTCTCAGTGCGCGACGTCGAGGTACCTTCCTTCGTGAAGTCGGAGACACAGTCTAGCTTCGACGAGTGAAAGCCGAAAACTTGGGACCGTTCTCCGGTGCACCGTGCACGGTGTGCGAAAGATAAAGTCTGTAGAAGGAGTAGGAGAACGGTGAGAAAAAGACAGTGGGGACGAGCAAAGGAAAAGGGGAGAAATAGGGGAGAGAAAAAGAGAAAGAAGTTCGAGACTTGGCCCACGGTTGGCAGTCGGCATGTAGACCGGCTGTGCACGGCAAACGGAGTGAAAGAGAGAAAAGAAGAGAAGTGGAAAGCGAATCAGTCTGTCGCTGCTGTCGGAGAAGGAAAGGAATAGTGGAGAGGGAAGAAAAAGAGAGAGAAAGAGGCAGTGTGTCGACGAGAAGAGCGAAGGAACGACAGCGGTAGAGATAAAGAGAGAGGATTATAACGGGGGAAAGAAACAAACGGATAGATAGGTGTCGTGCACATATGTGCACGAAGTGACGTGTGTGCAGGTGTGCGCGTGGTGCAGGCCGCCGGTGCAAAAAGTGCAGTGCCCAGTGGACTTTTCCATCCCGTGGACAGGAGGTGCGTGCGCTGCTTCGACGAGGAGGCACGTATAACACGTCGGTGTTTCGGTGTGAACTGACCGGAGAACGAAAAGGAAGAGCAGGTAGTTCGGTACCACGGATTTTTCGAGTAGGATACCGCCGCGAAGCTACCAGAGGGAAAGATCGGTCCAAGTGTACAGGAGGTCATCGTAGTGCAGTGTCGAACTTGAGAAACGCCGATTGAATTCGCTCGAAAAGTTGAAAGCAACGGAATAGATCGGGTATAAAAAAGACGATAGAAGACCTGTTCTCTTCGATAGGACGAACAGAAGATACCGAGGAGAAATAAAAGGATATACACGGTGACGAGAAGGTGAACAAGATAGCAGAATCGTCCGGTACCGATCTGCTTTACCGACGGATCTACGGTAACTCGCTGTTGGTAAAGTGCTGCCGCTGGGTAATCCATCGAGGAAGGAAGAGAACGCTCGCGAAACCGAGCAGACGCGCACCAGTCGCGAATTTGTGGTGGTCGTGATAAGGGCAAGCGCAGATGTGTTCCGTTTCGTGATCGACAATCTGTGCGCGGATCGTTCGAACCTACACTGAAAGTGTGATACGACAATTACGAAGGATACGCGAGAACATTCCTGATCAGTTTTCTTTTTTTCATCGCTAGATCGACGATCGACTGGGAGGTAACGACTACAGTGATATTAGACTGGCACGTTTTTACCCGCGAACCGTGACAACCCTAGACTCAAGCTGCTCTGCTCATCGTCGTAACACGAGAACTGCTTCGTAACTATATCTAACTCGTCTCGAATTAACGAGCTATCAAGACGGCACAACGGACAGCAGCCGGTAGTTTTACCACAATTAAGCGACGGTGAAGGTTACGAGGATCCGAAGCACCGAAAGTCCTTCACGAACTCCAACACGTGATCGGGGATTAGTTTTGCGAAGAGACACGAACACTTTTTGCACGGGGAACGATAGGAATTGACACGACCCAATGAAGGACAGAAAGGAGTCATGTTAACGGACACGTTAACTGTAATTGGCTGGCCAGACCAATTCGTATTAAATCGTGACGAGACGTGCGCATAGGCCTCGATCCGGGGACCAACGATATCGTTCGCCGCATTGGTAAAATAATTTAATCGAATCGACGAAGGGAACCGCTTTGGAGTAACCTGGAATCGGTCCGTCGACGAGCCACGAGCCACGAGGATCTCTCCCTGGGTGTACACGGCTACACGCGGGAGTAAGTTGAAAATCGTTCGGTGTCGTTGCTTGACGAAACCGGTTTCGTTCGGCTCGGCGAATCTCGGCGTTTATACAAAGGTCGTGTGTGCGCGCACTAGCGAGGAAGAGAGGGAGTGAGAGAGGGAGAGTGTGTGGTAGGAGTGAGATTTATGGAAAACGAATTTACACGAGGTCACACCCACGGGAGCGACTCTTTCTCTCTCTCTTTCGCTCTCCCCCTCTCGCACCCTCATTTTTCTCTTTTTCATCTGTTCATGCCCGTGTTATCCGTCTATTTTCACTTCGGCCGAGTTAACACGAAACAGAATCGTCGGTACGTTTCATTGTAGATTAATGCTGAAATTTAACAAGCCCATATCTCTCTCTTTCTCTCTTGCTCGCTCTCTCTTTATCTTTTTTCCTTGGCTCGCGTTAACTACGAATGGAATCTTTTTCCTTCAGAAAGATATCAATGCGTTGGCCGATAAGTTAATCATCGGGTACGGAACGAAGCGTTTCCCTTCGACTGATCGGCGATCAAGGATTCCCCCGATTAATAGATCCGATTTGTAGAGATTAGATCCCCCGACACGGAACGTGTTGAAAACCCTTGCCGTATAACGGAACCACCTGGGACCAGGAATCAGCCACTGGACGAAGTACCGATTTCCAACCGCGTCGAAAGAGAAAACGTTTTCAACGAGAGGAGGAGGAGGTGGCGGCGGCTTACGGAAGCGTGTGTGGATGTGTCGTGATGCGAGTGACCTTGCGACGCGGCTCGACCACCGAAGAAGCACATTCACGTTTTTAGCCCACAAGAGAATCTGCCGATGCTGAACATAGTTGCTTAACGGTGCACGAAACTGACAACACGACGTGATCGACTAGTCCGCGATCGAGGTTGACCTCCCGAGACGATGAAGGGTGACTCGCGGGGCACGACCGAGGCTCAGGACTCGCCGGAAACCAGCAACTTCTCGAGCTCAAACGCGAGTGCCGTCGTGGAAGCCGGCTTCAATAAAACGTAGTCGTGACCGGGGAAAGGTTGGATGATCGCGAGCTTCGGGCCGAGCGATGAAGCGGGCGACGAACGCATCCGCCGCAGCTGCGACCGCTGCCTCGCAGGTGGAGCAGCCTGCGGTCAACTTACAGAGCAGGATACACGATCTGATTAACCCGATAACGGCAGCGGGTGGCAGCGCCGACAGGGACGAACACGAGAAGATCGCCGAGACGAAATTCCGAACGGACGCGAGCAAACTATCGTCGCCCAAGAGGATCCCGAACGATGACACTAAAGCCAAGTCCACGGTCATGTCACGACTGTTAGCGGTCGACGCGGACAATTATATGCTTCGACAAGGCGCCGGTACGACGACCGCCGGTGCTGCAACTGTGGCCTCGACATCACCCACCTCGTCGTTCGCGACATCGACACAATCCACCGGCACGGCCACCTCAGCCCCCACGAATTTAATTCTGCGCCGTGAACCCAGACCTCTACAGCCTCAGACACGCACCTTCCTTACCAACGTCACCAACGCCGCGTACAATGATTTCCAAATGACCCTTTCGACGAGTTTCGCCAGCGCCACTCCCGTCACATACACCGGCGAGCCTCAGGCCTCGGAATCGAACAGGTCCAGAGCTGGTAATCTCGTGTTACCTGCGTCCAGGCGGCACCCTGCCACCCAGCAGACCTATCCTGTTAACGATACTTCCACCGTCGCCTCCACCTCGTCCTTTCCCTCCACTTCTGGCACGACGTCCAGCAGCAGTTTGATGAACGGTAACGCAACCCTACAGCGTTACGTTACCAACCGGCCACTGTTAAAGTTACCACCATCCTCGACGTCGTCGGCGCAGAACGCGACCTCGTCGAGGGACGGTTCGCGTTTGCCGCCAGACACGATTCACGAGACATGCGACGAGAGGGGCGGCAACAGAAACGAGAAATACGAACTGAATTATTACAAAGAGGGCTTGCCGGATTTGCTTCCGTGTTACACGGAGGTCTGGAGAGGGTTTTTTCCCTGCGCTCGGCCGGTATCGTTTCACGAGTACATGTGCCTTTGCGAGGATGTTGCGCGGCTGAAGCTGCAGCAGCAGCAGCATCGCAACGCGATATTCCGGAACACCGGCGCACCGTCGGTGTCCGCTTTGTGCGGGAGTATCCGCGTTAGAGTGGCGGCGGAGGGCGGCGATTCGTATTCAATTGGTCACGAGGGCTCGGGTGGTGGTAGCGGGCAGCGCGCCCTTGTCAAGGGCATAGGAGGCGGCACCGAGCCGCCCGCGCTCGACCGAACATACGCTGAATTCACTCGTATTACGGGCTGCTGCTGCATGTGCGGTTCTCTATGTCCCACAGACTGCCATGCGTGCTTCCACGTGGTCTGCTCGGAGTACAGCGGGCAGCACCTCTGCCAATGGAGTAGCAAGGGCCACGCGCTACCGGCCCAGGTTCTCGACAAGGACAAGGTCAGTACGATTATATACTACTTTCTTCTCTACTTTACGATCCTTTTGCCTTTTGCGTTAAGCCCCGTTCGGAGCATTCTCGAACGGCACATTCGCGGCGGGGACTCCTCTCGATTCGGAACCGTGTATCGTGGACGCGTGTGAGCCGATGATCCGTATAGATTAACTAACGATTAAGTTACTCGAAAAAAAACTTATTTATCTAGGTTGAGCGCGTGTAATCGGAATTTGTCGAGCATGGAGAGAGACATGGGTGTCGTGGTGTGGTGTTTGCATAGAAATCGAAACCACGAGTAACGCGATCGGAAATCAAACAGTTGATCAGCTTCGTTTTTTTCTTTTCCATCGAATAAGGCGTTGATTAATTTACTATGCTAACGGAAGCGTAAAGATAACCTATTTCGGAAACTTCTGGCTGGAATGTTAAAGTTTGCTCACGATCTCGCGGTGACAACTGGTCCTGTAAGTTCTCGACACACGGGTAAGGTCAGATCGATGACTTAATCATTTTAGATTCCTTCTTAAACGGCATCGAAACATCGTAAATCAATTACGATCAAGGCGAAACTAATTTCGTTCTATCGCAATCGTGTTTCACGTCCTCGTCGGTGTTCACCTTCTGTGCGAGAGCATGGCGAGAACACGCTTTGTTGTCTGCGGAACTGAAGCCGAAATTCACGGGTTCGCTCGCCGCTAGAGCAGAGAAACACACGACGAGCTAACTGTTCACAAGGAAAATTGTTCGCCTGTGTCCCTGTTACTCTCGGCCGCAGAGGTGAACCAACTGGTTCGACGACTGAATTTATCACCGTCTTGGATAATTTACATAAATCGTGGACATGCTTTCTTATAATTCCAACGGTTGGAAATCCGTCTTGGTTTTCCGACGTTCCTTTGCTCGCCTATCTACACGGAATATGACTTTGTACACAAACACGCTAGCTGAGGTTTCGTTATCAGAGCGAAACCTGCTCGAGATTCGATGGCGTGTCGACCCGATTCGTGACATCTACACAAGATTTGTACAAAAACTTTATTATATACAAACAGTGGTCCGTTTAGGATCCTTCTCCATCGAAAGTCTATCGATGACACTCGCGCGTGGATGTTCACGCGACCGATATCTTTATCTTCGACCGGTAAATTCGATGTCGGTGGACTTATCTTCCGCTTTCCATGTGAGCTTCTCCGAGGACAGTGACGACACCGAGGATTAAGGGTGATTTAATCCTCGGATAATTGTGGAGTAGCGACAATTTTTCTGTGATCTCCGTCAGTGATTTTACACGATTGCAAGTATGTCTTGCTATTTGGCTCTTTTTCCTTACGAAACTAGCTCTCTTGCACAAATTATGATATATCACCTTATTCAGCTAGGAATCAACCGATGTTCTAGAGCTAGGATAAACATACCATTCAATAAATCGTCTTCAAGCCATAGCGTGCATATATCGCGCGTACAACAATAAGAACGTGGAGAACTCATTTCAAGTTCAATTCGATTTCCGTGAAGTACGCGCTGTTACTCCAATCACATTTCAACGTTCGCCCAACGTTGGCGTTTCGTTAAAACGGTCCCTTGTTCCTTTGCAAATGTCTCGAGACCCGAGGCGTATTTTCATGGGAATATATCCACGTTTCCGTGATCACCGGACGGTGACCATGACGTGGAAGCAAAATTTCACGGCGAAACGAACGTGTCTGTCGTCGTTGTGTTCCCTTCGTTTTGAAACGATCCGCGTGAATATTCGCGGGAGATCGGCTCGAGTTTCTTGCCGAGCGAACGATAGCCAGCCAGCCGGTCTTATCTCGCAACTTGTGTCGTCACGATCGTAGACTTAAGGTTACGAGAGAAGGTTACGTTTTCTTTTTCCCCTTGGTTTTTACCCTTTCGCTTTATCATGCGATATACTTGCTCGATATTACTCGCACATGTACGTACACGTATCGTCTCTGTGTCTCTCTCTCTCTCTCTCTGTCTCTCGTCCTCTTTCCGTTGTGCCAGTGCTATCTAATCGGAGTTTCTGATCGCGTGGTGGACTACGTCGAGACATGCGTGACGGACACCCGCAGTATACACCGATTTTGGGAATAGGTTCGGATTAATGGCGGTTACAGTGTACAAGAATACATTACAATTTCGCCTGAATATATATTAAAATTGGCCACTGTGTTCGCTCGAAACACGAAATGAGTACAATTCAAATAACTCTCAGTTACGCTTAATCTGTGAAAGACAAGTACCCTTGTCATGAAGAAATGGCAATTTTTTAATGTATCGACGAGTTTACTTGTCATGCGAGGAAAGTAATTACCATTTGTTATTTCAATTAAAATTGTTGTTTTAAAAACTAAAACATATTTGTAAATTATAGACATTTTCGAATATCTTGACAAAACATAGATACACACTTCTAAAAAGTGGCACCACAGCTGAGAGGTTAAATTGATACTCATTATTGGAAGCTTAGCAAAAAGTTATGCGAATACTGTATATCGACCGGTAACAGAGATTAATAAAGTTACTTCGTGAGATTAGAATTCTTCAAAGATGAAATTAACGAATCTTCCATGCCGTTATTTTATTCTACACGGAAAGCATAATGAGAGTTAGGGAAGACCGAGTGGGCGCTCGAATTTCCATGTCTGGCCTGGGCTGTCTGAATCTACTTGCTTTACACCGTTTGTGTTCCTAAGAATGCGAAGCGGGCCAAAAAAAGTGGTTCCAACGCGTCCATAAATCATTCTTCTATATTCCGCCGTCCCACGGTTAGTTATCCAATTCGTGTAAAGATATATCCGCGTGAAATTCGGTAGCCGAAGGAAAGTGTACTGAAAAAGCATTCATTCTGTTTGCGGATGGCTCTCTGTTCGCCGTGCGAGCGCGTACGTTTTTAAACGGCGAACGCGTCATCGCGATATACATGTAACGCGCGTGGAATTCGCGGCGAACGGTCGCCCCGGTTCGTTACGTAATTGCCGTTCGCGAAAAAACGGCAATTAATCATACATATATCCCGCGATCCGTATCCGTCGTGAACCGTCCAGGGGCAGGGGGGATTCCCGCGAATTACCACCGACGCGGTCGCTATGGTTTTTCGTTCGCCTCGCACCTGAACTTGACCGGAACCGGTGCCACCGCACTTCCCGTCGCTATAATCCTCGTCGTTTTTCTTTTCGACAGCCCGTGAACGAGTGGACGTGCCAAAACGTCGTCGAATGGATGGCGGCCCTAAATCTGTACCGCTATGTGGACGTTTTCAAGTCGAAGGGCATCAAGGGCAGCGATCTTCAGCACCTGGACCGGGAGAAGCTCTTGGTAAGTCGATACGCCGAATTTGTATATATAACAATCGTCCCGTTCGTTTCTACGGCTCTAGCCGCGATCCTCCTGTCCTCGTTCACGACGGTACTCGGATGCAGCCTCAGCTACAGTCGCTTAAAATTCCACCTCTCTTATCAGGAACATCGTTATAAACATTACGGGGCTATTAAAAGTTGATAAAGTCTCGCGAGACGAGATGATGGCGAGAAGGTGGGGGAGGAGGGAGGACTAGTCGGCCGCGAATTTTGCTTCGTTTTTTTCGTCTCGCGGCGGCGGGGCGGGGGGGGGGGGGGGCCCGGAAGGCGATGACCTTGACTCAAGAGTATCTGGACGAAGTTTTCCTTGGCCCGTTGACCCTGTAATTGCCCTGTAGTGTCTGCCTGTACGCCACACACTCGACTCCTTATCAAGTCTTGCCCCCTCACTCCCTCACTCCCTTCCCGTCTTGACCCCTTCTCCCACGACGGTTTTTTTCGTAATGAAATTTTTCATCGCTTATCGCGAATACTCGACGAGTACTTTCGGCTGTATCTCCACGAAAGGATTTTCTTTCCGTTATCCGAGAGACTTCCACCTCCTCGGATTCTTGAAGCGGCTAGAGGAACATCGTTGCGCCGTTTCGGGTGTGCGTCTTTCACTCGTAATCTCGGGCTACTCATGGGGCCATAGGCTTCCTAAACTATAAATGGATCGAATGGGATACAAGAACGTTCGCTCTATATCCTGAAAGCGATCGAACGTCCAGGATGGAATTTAAATAAGAAGAAATGATTTTTTGTTTTCTGTTATATTCGACGACCGAAAAATGGTCGTGTGTTGGTTATCTTACGGGATAGGATCCTCTTAAGCACGACCAGGTCCGCCGGGACACACGAATCCTGGTCGAGAGAGAAAGAGAGAGAGATAGAAAGAGAGAGAATCTTTTGCAAATTTAGTCGCGACGCGTCTCTCCTCGCGCTAGCCGAGAGGCTCTCGAACAAGAAGAATAAAAATACCCGTCTCGCCAAGGCTTCTCCGGGCGTAAATCGCGTATTACCATGCTAATCGACTCGTAAATCGTCTCGACGCGTCCTTTCGGCGCGAGAAATCGTCCGATTCCCGTTCGCCTCGTCCTTCGCCGCGGATTCTCGAGCCTCCGCCGGAGGAGGAACGCATCGCGCTCGGCTCCACGAATCCTTGGCCATCTTCGGGCAATTTAAAATCGATTTACCGTGTTATTTGCACCCGCTATCGAGCGTGTTCCGCGCATATCTCTTTCCTTTTTTCTTCCCCCCACCCCGTTCGCTGGATATCGTGCTGGGAATCGATAATTTCTAATTATTGGGATCGTTGTCGCGCAAGATCCGATATACAGGGTGTAACAGAAATGATGGAAGATCCGGAAATGGGACAATGGGGAGGTGATTTGAAACAAGTTTTTCCTCAGCAATAATGTTATGCCTTTGTTAACGAGATATTAACGAAAACCCTCGACCAATCGGAACGCGAGTCTGCCAGCCGAGTTCCCGCGGTAACATTAGTTACGCGGTATCGCGGGATCTCAGTTTTTCTCTAAAGAGAAAGTTGGCTACCAATCGCAATGCGTAGCCAACGTTACCGCGGGAATTCAAATGGGGTTTTTCGTTAATATCTCGTTAAAAAAGCCTCGAATAACATTGTCACCAAGGAAAAACTTGTTTCAAATCACCTTACGAGTCTCCCATTTCCGGGTCCTTCAACATTTTTCTTACACACTGTATGTATAATATTCCGTCCCATCGAAGATGTGTTTCCGTCTAGGCTGCCCCATCCCCGCGCGAACGAGACACGCCTTGGTTATTGAAAATAAATTAAGGGCGTGTACTATCTTTATCACGCGAACGGTCACGACGACGACCACAACGGCGACCACGACGACGAGGCGTCTTCCTTTCCAGACGACGGAGCGTAACAATTTAACGATCGCCCGCCGCTGCCGCGCATCATTCACCCTCCGGGCACCCGAAAAAACTTACATAACCCACGTCCTCCGCGTGTAATTAACACTTAACACGCGCGCGGGGTGTCAGCTTGATAGATTGCGAGTGCCGCTCGTTATCTCGGTCGCTGATTTCAGCAAAAATTCCGGCCCGACGATCCTCTCTTCTTCTTCTCCTTCGTCTTCTCCTTGGGCAAGTCGAGGCCGCGGAAATTATTTTTCGAGAGACCGCGTTTAAACGACGCGGAACCAAAAACCATCACACCGATTCTTTGGCACTAGTCACGCCTGGGATAAAACAATGACGCGGCGGCCGCCGTCGCTGGGCTTTATCATCGCACGAGTATACATATATGTATACGTGCGGTCGCTGGGATGCATACAGAGGGTGTAGCGAAAGATTGCTCGAAACTTTAGAAACAAGTCGTCGTCGTGGTCGTTGGGGGGACATAAAAGCGGCAATAAGTCACATATACATATATATGTATATACACATCGTCTCAAAGGTTATTTATTCGTAAGTTTCAAGCTTATTCAGGGAGACTGTTGGATATTCAGCTCACAATGGGGAAATAGTGTTTATACGAACATTCTGTGTGTACACAAGCTTCGTCCCCCTGAATTTGAACCTCTGCGTGTTTAACCTACGAACGCAGTATTTAATTAGGAGAACGCGGTTTTTATTGTCGTGTAGTAATTTAGCGACATTTACAGCCATGTGCGCCTTTGTTTCTGTTGCGACGAGTGGCAAAGCTCCCAGTACACTCCCGTACGCATACGATTTTTCGCTTTCGCCGCGAGCGCGTGTAATTCTAATAATAGCGGTTGGCCCAGTGCGTGCGTCGCGGACGTGGCGCCAAGGGAGCGCACGGCATTGTCGGCGCAATTTTAAAATAGTCCACATACGAACTCGGAATACCATAATTTGGAAAAAATCTGTGCCAGACGGAGACGCTGCCGGAAGCGGTTGGATCCGAACGCGTCGCCCACAAAGAACCGCGTTGATTCTCGGGCCACACCAAGGATCGGCCGCGAGTTTTTGTACCCGGCGATTTTTGTCCCATTTCCTGAAACCATTTTAGACTATACTCGTTTCTTTTGCCTCTTACGTAATTCCTGCAACTTGTTCCAGAACACATGGTTCTTTTCGTTTTGCTTCATGACAAAATCTGTTTTATGCGACACTTCGAGTTCGGGCCCTGTACTCTCTGTAGATTCGTTTGTACCACTGCCGAAAATGTACTTTAACTCACGGACGATTATTACGAATAGATTAAGTTTCTTCCGTCAGGCGTACGCTTTACGATCTCGACCAGATCGATACGGTATACTCTCGTCGATGATCCGGAGGCCTATGTCAAATCTTTCATCCCTTCTGGAGTGATCGAGACATCTCTAGTTACGGGTTCGATCGATAATTTCCCTAGTCCTTTTACCCTCGATAAGTGTTCAGTTCGTATTTCCGTAGGGAATACAGTGAATCCTCGATGAGTGTTCAAAGGCTCCTCGGCACTGAACATGAAATATTTCATAAACCAATGGCCATATGCGGTTGAAAGAAATATGCGTATGTTTAGTTTTTCTTTCATCGAGGCATCTTTCTGAACATGTCATTAAATATTCACTAGGAAATTCCCCAATAAAAAAGGATATTTTACCAATTGATTGTCATTAATATTTATAAATATATTTGTTCAAAAACACAGTTGAGGAATCAAAAAAATGTTCTTTCTGGTCTTGCTAAATTCGTCCCTGAAGAGGGACGTTAAAAAATTAGCGTCACACCTGGGGACCTTTCCTTGTCAGTGTCAACGAGCCTTCAAACACTCATCGAGAATGTACTCTACAGAGAGTCTCTGCTACGTAGATCAGGACCCGTATGTAGATCGAAACCACGCTCGAGCGATCGTGAAACGTGAATCCTAAGTGACTTTTGCCCCCGTGGTTCATTGTCTGCGGGCTTCGTCGCACAGGTGTTTACCCGGCTCGAGCCACATGTACCTGACACCTGTTGACTCGGGAATCAACTGCGTCGGGGGAAAACGAGATGTCAAGTCGCCGGGAGACGGGTAACAGCACGTATAAATTACGATCGCCTTCGTCGTTCACCCTTTTACGAGCCCGCTGGGTTTTGTTTTCTCTCCGTTCTCGTTACGTCACCGTGACACGCGGTCGAAACGGCTTGGCGATATAATTTCGTGGATCAAACCTGAAACGGTACCACTGACCCTCCAGCGACTATTTTTCCACACTCTCTCTCGTTGAAATTTTCGTTCCGCCGCAAAGTCACGTTCCGTCGCGGCCCTCGAGGAGACCGTGTATCGACGGATTTGCGCAGGGAGGACCGCGTTCTTCGGCTCATCCGAGACTCGACATTTACGCCCGCTATGTTTCTCGTCTTACGAGCAGCGCGAGTTCATAACTGTACCCGCGTCGTTAGCGAGCTTCTTTCTCGCGGTTACTCTACAACCGCCGACGGGTAATAGCCACCACGAGCATCCGTGAAGTTTGAGAAACCTGGTGGCCGATGTATTTACGGCGGGCAACGTGTGCAACACCCGTACGCGAAAGTGAACACGTGTCACGCGATAAAGTAAGCCTTTCAGGCCGGGCACAATCGTGTCTACAATGTCCCGTTTCTTCCGCATGTTCGCAGAACATGGGCATCAAGGATGAGTTCCATCAGAGGAACATCTTGGCCTGCATCGAGGAACTACTTCAGCCGCCCTCGGCGACCTCGTACACGGAGGGGACGGGTCCAGCCGCAATGGCCACCGACTCGATTGGTAGCGAGGCCGCGATCACCGGCAACCCGCACACCCTTATGCCGCAGAGCTTCAGCGTGCTCGAGAAGTGCGACAAGTGCCATAAATATCTCAGAGGTCTACTGCATCAAGGTTTTCTCTGTCTAGGTAGGTATAACGGAGCCGAGATTCGGCGACAGTTGACACCAGTGGTTGGGCGGAATTTTATTCGAATAATACATTGGGAAAAGTAACAGTATCTAAGGGTGTCATCTTGAGCTTTAGACTAGGGTGGTTAATACAATTGTTTCGAGGTCATAATTTCGTTATTAATGCATTTATGAAAAAATGCCATAGGAAAAAGATAAATGGCACGAGGAGCACTACACCTGTAGGCCCCTAGATTTACGGTTAAAGCTACGTTTCCACTTGACGCACGATCCAGCTCCGGTATGGGCGATCAAACGTTAACGGGGAAAGCATTCGAAACGATATTGCGTGACAAAAGAGTAAACGGGATTTCAGTAGTTGCTCAATTTTAAGATAAACTTTAAATACCCTACAAGGAAGTCTCTGTCGTTCCGACCAGTAAGCGTCTGCCGCGCCAAGTGTTACACGGGCGAACGTGGCTTAAGCCATCGTATCGCGTCGTCGTCGAAGGATTACCCGTGCAAAATCTCTCGGGTGGCTCCGACACGAACGATAAACTTCCGAGTTTCGGTGACTAAGGTTTCTTCGGCAGCCAGTGGGAAGCTTCGTAAGCCTTACCAAAGCAGCTGGAGATTCATGCATACGAAATGCTGCCTTTTTTTTTAGCGCGATATCGCAATGGAAAGGAAGAAATGTCAGAGCCGTCAAATTGTTATACACCGAGTTAGAGAAGATGTTTCTTGAAAAACATATGAGATCATCTCTGTTTTATCGGGTGCCCAGAATCTGCGAAATCAAGGTCCGCGATATCGAGACTCCTGAGGTCTGTCTCTTGAATGACACCGTCTGAAATGCATTACAGGGCACAAACTGTGCCGCGCGCGTCAAACCCTGACAAGCATGCGCCGCATACTTACTAATCGTTATTCATTTTCTGTATCAGGTTGCGGCCTGGTGGCGCACAGGACGTGTTCAGCGACGGGTTTGCCCGCGAACTGCGTGCCAGTCGACGCGGAAAATCCTATCCAAAGAATTACTCCGGGTAAGTCTCTCCTTTACACGCGCTCTCTCGATAGCTCTCCCGTGGTGCGCGAGCGAGCGAGCGAACGCAAGTGTCTCCAGTTTCGTAACAGTGACATTGATACAGCGCAGCTGTAACACACCCATTTTTACCTCTTTCGTTACGTTAATGGACGGAACACGGAAACAATTTAAAAATTCAGATGTCTTTTAGTTGACTATGCCCGGGGGATTGCATCAGAAACGTGTTCGGTGACGCCGGAGGAACTGCTTTGCAATCCGTCGTAGACCACGATTATGAAGTTTCCAACAAGGACACCATCGATGTGTGCCGACGCCGCCGCCGCCGCCGCGTTACTTGTCGCTCTAATATCTGAATAACTAAATATTCATGCACGGAGTCTCTCTCCCTCTCGAGTCGTGTTTCGATCGGTCGAGATGATCGTACACGGTGGACAAAAAAGAAAAAAAAAATAGAGGTAGTCGTAGTTTCGCTGATGTTCGATTCGCGCCGTCTCGTTTTTCGGCGAGAGGCAACGAGAGCCCCCACATCATCGTCTTCGTCGCGGCGATACACGACGCCTACGGGCCTACCGGCTGGCTCTGGCTACTGGTGTGTGCGTGGTGCCGCCGCGTGTGTCCCCGTAAACGTAGACAGTTTTCCGAGAAATTCCGTGGCTACTCTCGGAATCCCGTCGTTCGGCGTGTAGACGGCTATATAATCGATAAAGTCGACTCAGCGCGCCTCTGCACCGGTACCGTCCGGCTCGGAGGAGGAGGGGAGATATATACATATTCCATGTTCGTGACACCACTCTCTCGAGTGATTGGCTTGCATTAACTTCGGAGCGCGCGTTCGCGTCGATGATTATGGAACGACACACGACGTGTCGTCGTTCTCGCGCGCGCCGGACAACCACGCGGCGTCACTGGTCAGGGCCGTTCGTGGCTACGCACTCGAACGTTGTGTATGAAATTCGTCTGCAACAAAGTAGAGAGACACTGTACAGAGAGGAATCGATTGCTTCGACGTCGCGTATGGGTGCTTCGGAGACACCGCGAATCCGCAGAAATTCGGACGGAGACGTCGTCGTACACTGACAAACTCAGCTTCCACTGGGGGAAAAAGTGCCGTAGAGGAAGCATACCCACTTGGCAAATTTAATTCAACTGCTGAAATAAATGTTACACTGTACGTTAAGCTCTTTAGGGACGAATTTATTGAGACCAGAAGAAATATATTTCTCTTATTTCCCAGGTGTTCTTGATTGAATTGTGTTTATAAATATTAACAGCAAACAATTACTTAGAGTACCCTCCTTTGCTGTTGGGGATTTTCCTAGTGAATATTCATTCACAATATTGGAATGATGCTTGAATGAAAAAAAAAAGAACTAAACGTACACATACGTGTCAGTGTCCGTCAAGAGGTTAATTTTCCGAAACCTAGTCGTAGGTAGGCCTTTTCCCTACGCCGCTTTTGCCCTTAGCGAAAGTTAAGTTTGCACGTCAGTGTACACGGTTTTCATGATGCGTCCCTGCAAGAATCCTTCCACCCGGCGATAAAAGCGTTTCCACGGGATCTCCTCGTAAAATTGGAACGTCCTCGATTCCAATTCTACGGTCTGTCCCCGTCCGGTTTCACTGATGCATCGCTATTTCGTTCGGCCGGGCTCCCGTTGGCCGGTTTCGAACCAGTGTGACGAATATCGAGTTTCCGTACTGACCTCCATCGGGCGACGGCGCTGTTAAATTCATATGTATACGGTATTGCCGGTCCTGCGCGCGTTTTAATTCGGACTTTTTGTTCCGTGGGCCCCCTCGTCTCGAGCCAGCAGAAGATACGGTCATGAAGAAACAAGACGTCGCCGTCGCGGCCGTAAAAATAAATTTCTTTCTCCCCCCGCCCCGTGGCTCCAAGCCTTTCCTCCGCCTCCACCTCCTCCACCATCGTTTCTCCCTCCCTCATCCCTCTCTCTCTTTCACTGTCTTGCACCGTCTCTTTTTCTGTGTTTCTCGGTCTCCATATAATGCATGCGTACACGCCTTTGATTGTACAAGTGGCGTATAAACGCGGTATTCACGACAAGTTGATTCAAGTCGCGCGCTACACGCTCGAAAATATGATCGAGACGCCGTCGATTCATGTATATTTCCGTACTTGAATAAACCCCGTAGGCGAAGGTGTATGTGTGTGTGTGTGTGTGTGTGTTCGGGTCGTCTATCCCCGACTCTATTCAAAAGAGCGAGAAACTGGTCTTACGAAGAATATATTGACCCACGGTACGAGCCCTTCGAAGCGTTCAACCTGCTTCTCTCGAATAGGTCATCGATTCCACTCGGAAGATTTCGCGGAATGTTCTCCCTACGGCGGTCCCTACCGTTATGTAATTGCACGAAATATACACGCGTCCGAGTATTTCTTCCCTCGGCCCCTGCTTATTTTCGTTCGCGTTGGAACAAAAACGAATCCCTTCTCTGTAACACGCGTTTCATCGGCGGTTCCTCCCTACCTCCCATCCAGCGTGTTCCCCCGCGGAGGAAAACCGTACATTACGATTTTACGTCTCTCGTCGTGTGCGTCTGGAATGTGTCTGCGAGATGTCGGGCATTTTTTCTTCCCCGAGGCATATCCATAAAAACCGACGAATCTGTTGCAGATGCCCCACGGTGGTGTCCTCCCCCCTCCCATCGCCGAGTGGTTCATCTGCCCCGCCGTCGTGTTCCGTCCGTGGGGCTCGCGTGCGAGTCCTTCCACCGAAAGGCGAGATACGCTAATTTACACAGCCAATTAATTTCACCTCGCGATTATTTCCCTTGGTCGCGGCGGGTCAACGGACTCGCCGCCCCGGCGGTGTGCTCCCGTGTGTCTCGTTTCACGTACACCTGTTTGTTGCACGTACTTCTCCTCTCTTTCGTCTCTCCGCCGACGCGTGTTATGGTTCGCTCGCGCGCTCCTTCTCTCTCTCTCTCTCTCTCTCTCTCTCTCTCTCTCTCTCTCTCCGTGTGTGCACCGCCGAACGCGGGGCAACGCGCAAAGTCATCATCCGCGGAGGCCTCTAAACGGGTGAACAAATGAAAGTTTCATCGGTCGTTGAAAAATTCTCACGCGCTCGCCACGGTTACTCGAAAGAAGCGGCGGATTCCTCGGGCTTAGAGGTCGTGGCAATAAATAGAACAGTGAAAGGTAGAGCTCTCCGTGACTCTTTTTTTTTTCTTTGTCGTCGTCTTTCTCTCGATACCCGACGTCGGGATACGTTTTTACGGTCCTAGGAGTTATAGCCGTTGCCGATTTTTTTTTAAATGCCCGACGTTATGTACGAACGTTCCGTGCACGAACAACTCGGAACTCATAAAAGTAACCTCCTCGTCGTCCTCCTTCTTCTTCTACCAGTCCTCTGTTCTCTCGTTACCGTGATCGTTCTCGTTCACCCCTCCCGAGCAATCTCGATTATTTAATTGCCGTTTGCAGTATTCGGACTCGGCCTGTGCGCACAATTCGACACCACCGTCCACACCGCTCCAGTTTTAGTGGAACGATGCATCCGTATCCTAGAGGAGAAGGCCGCCGAGGAGAGCACACTGGATCTGTACAAACTCTACCACAGTAGCCCTTCGAACGAGCAAACCCTGGAACTGCGACAAAAATTGAACGAAGGTAAACAGTGGAAACCCTCCCAATTATTACTCGTAATTTCCAATATACACCGTCGAGATTTTTTTTTGCGTTCACGCGTAATCCTTGTTTCTGATTTCAGATGTGTGCAACGCCGATTTGAATTCCTACACACCTCAGTGCATCGCGAGTGTCCTTAAAAAGTTTCTGCGCGAATTGCCGGATCCTGTGATTCCTGTACTGTTTTACGATAGGTTTATAGAAGCTTCGAGTGAGTATGGGAAATGACAAATTCTTTCAGAACTGCAAACGAGGAACATTTTATCCATGAAAATTCATCGATTGATTTTGTCAACGCTTTATAAACTTTGAAAGAATATCAGACTTTCTTCAAGAGCTTCTGAAACTGCTTCTTGGTAAATTATTTTTTAAATTGCGCCTATTGAAACTGTTAGAGTGAAGAGGTAGCGAGCAAAGACGTTTCCCTTTAAATAAGACTAATACAAATTAGCCCCGTTCTGCCTTCAGATGTTAAGAACGACGAGCAGTGCGCGATACGCTTGACGCAGCTGGTCGACGAACTGCCAGACCACCATCGTAGCACCCTCTACCATTTAATGGCTCACTTCTGTCGGATTTGCCAGTTACAGCACAGAAGAGGTTACACGGAACCTCCTACGATCCTTACGCAAGTTCTGTGTCACATCTTCGTCAGGCCACCTTGGGAACGGATCATGTGAGTCCTCCGATAAGTAAATCCGATCAATTATATTTTCATCGAACTCTTTGGTATATCCGATTTTCGTCCATTCGACAGCCAAATAGTTCATAATATCGAAGCACACATACGAATAATGGAGATACTATTGCTACACGGCGATTGGAGCGAGAAATTGCCACAGTTCGCGAGTCCACCGCAGTTACCGCCGCGAAAAGTCTCGAGGCCACAGTTTCCAGTTTTAGATCCGTTCTCCTTGCTGGAGGAAGATAAGTCCATGGACCGGTCGACGTCGGGTGCGGAGAACAAGGACCAACAATTTCCGCACAGGTAAACGCCCGTTTATTTTTGTACATACTATGGCAAACAGCATGCATTTTCGGCGGCTTATATTTCATTCTTCTTCTTCTTTTGCTCTTTCTTCTTCTCATTTCTTTTCGTCGTCTTCTTCATCCTCTCTTTCCTTCCGACAGACCACGCTCGCTTCAGGAAGCTGAATGGTACTGGGGGGACATCACGAGGGACGAGGTGAACGAGAAGATGGTCGATTCTCCGGATGGCACCTTCTTGGTTCGCGATGCATCTTCTAAGGGCGGAGAGTATACCCTCACATTGCGTAAAGGTGGGACCAATAAGCTTATCAAGATTTGTCAACGCAACGGCAAATACGGCTTCTCGGAGCCGTATAACTTTCATTCCGTGATCGAGCTGGTGGATCATTATCGGACTTGCTCCCTGGCGCAGTATAATTCCACGCTGGATATCAGGTTGTTGTATCCTGTTTCCCGTTTTCAGCAGGTAATTGTCTTTAGAATTTGTTTCGTACGCTGGAAACTGGCGGTTCAGACACGACGTTTGATCGCTTCTCTTTCTGCCACTAGGATGACGAAATTTCAAGTACAACCGACATGTCGAATGTCATTCAAAAATACGTTGAACTCGAGGAGGAGACCTCTCGCGGGTTAACAGAATACAGAGACATTTCGGAACTCTATAATAGAACGTCATACGAAGTACAGCTAAAACGACAGGCATTAGAAGCTTTCGCGGAAGCTGTAAAGATGTTCGAGGATCAAATGAAGCTGCAAGAGAAGTTCCAGAAAGAAGCTCAACCTCACGAGATATCAACGTAATTATCTGATTTTTCAATGTTCTCAATCACAGAATACAAAACCATCGGATGATATTGATTTTTTATGATTTATCTGATTACAGTTTAACCGATAACGCTGAATTGTTGAAACAAAGACTGAAATCCTTAGAAGAAAGCAAAGAACAGTTGGATCGTAGTTTAAAGGAACAAATCGCGTACAATAGGACTCTCGAAAGGGAACTGCAGAGGTTGAAACCGGAAATCCAGCAGCTCATACGTCAAAGGGACAAGCATTTAGCGTACGTATACCCGGTGCATTCGTTGAAAAGAAAATATTCTTTTTCGAGACTACGGTTTCGAGCGTTCTATTTTTACATTACAGATGGTTGAAGAATCGTGGCATGAAGCAAAACAAAATAAACCAGCTCGTATCAAACCATTCGGATTCGATGCCTGTCTTAGGCGAAGCGGTTTACCGGACTCTTCAAGAAATTGACCTTGACATTCTTGCCGACGATAACACGTGGCTTTCTCTCGAATGTTCTCGTTCCGACGCGGACCGTTTGCTCGTCGATCGGCCGAATGGCACCTTTCTCATTCGAACCTCAAGAACTGGACAGCATGCTCTGTCAATCATGTATGTTAACCTATGTCTCCTGGGGTGTATACATGTTCCATTAGCATTAACCCGTGAAATAACTAACATGTGCTTCTCTTGTAGGTGTAATGGTACTGTGAATCACTGCATAATATACGGGACGGAGCGGGGTTTCGGATTCGCTGAACCGTTCAATATTCATAAGAGTTTGAAACACTTAGTGATACATTACGCTCAGAATTCCCTCGAGGAACATAACGAGAGTCTGAACACGACGAGGCACAGTTACAGGCCCAACAAGTGCAGATGCAAATGCAAATGCACGTGCAAAATCAACAGCAACACGTGCAAAATCAACAGCAACACACGCAAAATCAACAGCAACTCGCGCAGAACCAACAGCAACTCGCACAGAACCAACAGCAACACGCGCAGAACCAACAACAGCTCGTGCAAAATCAAACGCAGCACGCGCGTCCTCACGAAAACCATTACGTACCGCATCAGTAATGCCTTCTCATGTCCCCCAGTCATCGTGGTCAATTTTTAAGCACACCGTTACTATGTACCAAGTGTGCACGTAAGTCTTCGTTCACGTGGCGCGCGTGTTCTTCGACTTACATCGAGAAACTCCGGCGACAGAAGATTTTTCCAGAATGTTCGTGGAAATTGCTGTTGGCTACGATCGTCGTGGCATAACGTTTTCACGGAGGAAATCAATGCTCGACGTTTGGTCGGTCCAGTTTTATAGAAAAGAGAGTGAGAGAAAGAAAACACTTCTTCAAGGAAGCACAATTGTATTAACTGAGAGGAAGAAAGAAAACGTTGCTAGCGGTAGTGGTAGTAATCCTCAGAAACTATAGTGATAAAAAAAAATTAATTGTGTACGTACGTGTTAACGTGAACGCGGTAAGAATTTGCTTCGGTCGACAGGACCAACGACACATCGCGATAGGTTTTACAATTAGTCTCTCAGGGTCTGCAGGCCTTCTAAGTGGGTCCTTGTCGACGATCGACTTTACTTCGGCACGCGTGCGCGCGCCCGCGCGTGTGTGTGTGTATGTGTGATCGTAAAACGGAAAACAAACGAAGGAGATAGGATTTAAAAAAAAAAAAATTTATGAGTTACCGTCAGTTTGTTCTTCGGAAGAGAATCATTTGAATGCTGGTAAATGTTGGCGCCACATTTCCGAGTGCACTTAACATTCGATCGAATACGTCAGAATCACAGAGGCATGTATCTAGTCTTACAGACAATTTGCAAAATGACGATGAACAGAATCGGAAGTCTGAATTCGCTCAAAGTACTCGTGACGTTGATTGGTAATCAGGGTAGTTGTATGTCCGTGGTAATCCAATAACTAACAAAAAGACAAGCTCGTGAGAACAGAGAGGAGACACTTTTTTTTCTAGACCGCTGTACTTCTGACTTCTTCGATACATTTTTGTGAATACTTTCCAAGTCCTCCGTTTTGTACGCGCGGGCTGACGCGCGGGCACTGTTTACGTCGCGATTGTGATCGACGAAGTAAGATCTTCAAACAGTGATATTAGATATATAATTAGACGCATCGCACGGTGAGCCTCATCGATTGCGTATGGAAAAACGTTTTTTGTAGTAATTTACAATGATTCTCTTGATGTGTAGCATCTATGGTCGATTTGAGATACGAAACGGTGCAGGCTCTCGGGTAACGAGTTTCTCGACTCTGGTTCCGTTCGATTGTTCGATTTTAAACGTGCCCGCAGGTACCTCTCGGAGGAGACTCGTCACAACGAAATTACACCACGGAGGTCCCGCGGTGGGAGCTTTTTTATACGTTAGATTTCAAAGTGCTGTGCCAGACCTGTATGAGTGTCGTAGTAGATCGCGTGCACGATCGCGCCCACGCGGAGATTATTTCTCAAACATGCAAAACGTATTTGTCTGTGATTTCGGATTGCCGACGAGGAAGATACATCGTGTCTATTGTTTTCCATTCGCTTTTTACGATATCCGTTTTCGTCTTACAGTGCAAAGAAAAAAGTTACAAGAAAGAAACTACATTTTCTTAAAAGTCTATGAAAACGCGACGGACACAATACCTTGCGACCGTATGTGTAAACGTTATTCGTGATTTTATTATTCGTATGTTTCTTATGTTCGAATCGATTAGTAATGTTTTTTTTTTATACGACGCGTCAGAATCATAATACGCGTCGCGCTCCTCCCTCTTTCAATCGTGCTACAGCCCTCGAGATTCCATTAGATGATAGGAAATTTATCGGTTTTATTTGTAGGGTGACCCAAAATACGGAATACGGATAGGGGAGGTGTTTCGAATTTCTCAAGACGCGTACGTAAATTGCGCGAAAAATATGTGTCCAAGCCCTTGATACGTTCTAGTTTCATAGAAATCCAATGGTCGTTGAAGGTGAGTCGGTCTCCCAGTTCACCGTGTTCGTATCCTCTCCGTATAATTTGCAGAAATATGATCTACGTCTCTAAATTAAAAAGAGACAAGATGAAACATTGCAAAACCGGGGGATTATATCTTGACACAATTCATAATGGGAGAAGATGCTTCGAACGATCCGAGGATTTTGTCGCGGCTACAATTTTTTAAAAATTGTACTGAAACAGTTTTTTAAGGGCTTCGTCTCTGGATAACGGAGTTCGGTACACCTCGTCTATCCGCGATTAAAACAATTGAATCTGTAGAATAATATTTTTTTATAGGAGCTTTCATATACCACGGAATCGAAGCAGAAAACAAAGAAGTTACGCGCGCTTGATTACTGATCTCGGTATGAAGGCCATCGTGTTTATACGTGACGTACACGTGATTAATAATTTATAGCCAAAAAAATATGATTTCCTCATGATCGATGCACACCTCGCGTACAAACACGATGGAGGCATACAAAAAGCTATCCTCGGAGTGTCGAGTATAGAGTCACACGCCGTAACTTTCATACTTTTGTAATCGATCTCTTCACTATCGGAAGCTCCCCTGAAAAATTATCATTCCATATCTTTTTTAACCATCGCGTCGGACGGAGTTGTTTCCGCTTGGCGTATCTGGAATTGTAGTTTTGAGCCACCCTATACATTTTGCGCAGCGAATATCGACAGAATCCGTGCATCCTCGTGCGAGACTGCATTTCGAATACAGCCGCGCGCACGGTTTCCGTCACCCTCGGGGAGGATCGGTCTTTCTCACTTCAAAGATGAAAACTCACGCTGCACTTGAATGATCTCAAATGTGGTGGGCAATCGGTGGTTGCGACCACGACCAAAACGAGACTTCCGTGAATGGGTATCTGGGTGAATTTTCGGTACGAATGGAGTTCATTGACCGGGGTAAGCGGGGAGAGTGCTCGAGAAATTTTGCGTATTACAATGCGGTCCGTAATCGCAAAAGTGTATCGAGCACGATCCGCTAGCGAAACACGACGGGACGTGGGTAGCGGAGGAAGTCTGGTTTTGGTCGTGGCCGTTACACGCGATCCCCATCGCTGTAGTCAGAAACAAAAAATAAACGAACGCAAGTCGATTGGGCGAGTGAGAAAAAAAAAGGTCTCGAGCTTGAAAGAGTCGAGTACCGCGACGGTGTTCACTTTTATTATAATTACTATTATGTTATTCATAATTATTATATTTTCATCGTGCATTAAAAAAGGATGACAAAGAAACGACGTGCGGAAGAGAGAAAGAGAGATGGAAGTGCGAATAAGGAACGAAGAGATTTGATATTCAGAGAGGAAAGGCTCGTTGCTCATCCTTATAGGTTTCGAATTACGTAGATTTAGGTAGCTTAGGTTTTTTTACACGAGAGAGAGAAATATTAAGTGCCCTGGGCGCCGGAGAGATAGGCTTCTACTATCTCGTGATCGTCCGATCGCGTGCCGGTGCAGTATTCTATCGTTGTATAACCGTGTCGTCGGATCGTTCGTTTCCTCGACGCTTCGATTACGAAATTTGTTCCGAGGCTTGTGCCGCGAAATCGATGCCCCGTCAGATCGAACGATTGTCTTTCTTGTTTCCCGAAAAATTGCACGATTCGAACGTCGCTTCCGGTTATCAGTAAGATCCCGCTTGGCCACGCGGGCCTGACGCACGGTTCAGGAACAAAGACGAGAGCCACGCTCGAATCGGCACTTGGAATCTAAGAAAACACTATTAAACGGAGCAAATGCACGAGTTTGCCGAGTACGTGTCCTTTCCTCGCCTGCAACTCCCAAAGTCTGCAAATCATCCGCTACCATTGGCGACGCTGTCGAAGAACACCCGAAAATATTCCATTTTCCTTTTCCCTTGTATTCTTCGTGTTTGCTCACAAAAAATGGAAAATCAAGGAAGTCGTCGTGCTATCGGCGACTGTGTATGGTATTGTAACGACGACTCGGGCAACGACTTGGCGCTCGAATAATCGCCTCGGTACACGTCCGGAAATGCGCGATTCGAGGACGATAAAAACGTGTGACGACTTTCGCGCGTTAACCGGCTCCAACGATGATGAGTCCGTGCGGGAAACTCGCTGGCAAAAATCGGGAGAACGAGATTTCGCGCATAATACACAGAAAGAGAGGAAGTGAGAGTGAGAGAGAGAGAGAGAGAGAGAGAGAGAGAGAGAGAGAGAGAGAGAGAGAGAGAAGTCGAGTGTGATCCTCGACGAGACGGGAAAAGTTTATTTGATCGAAATAAAGACACTGAACAACACGATCAACGTAAAATCCTTTTCTTCATCGAGCGAGCAAGCGACGTCACGATTCCAAAAAAAAAAAAAAACGAAGTTACGTCTGCTGTACGTTCGTCCGTTGCCGCCGAAGTCTCCCGCGACTCGCCATCGTCATCCGAGGACGCGCGACAAATGCGTTTACAAGAGAGAAGAAACAAAATATGCACACACGCGGAGACACACGTTACACGCGCAATATTCAATTTAACGCGATACCAAGAGCGTATTTAGGTGGTAAAGAATAATTGATGCATTCAATGGCGAGAATATATGGAGGAAAGGGATTAGGTACCAGGAAAAACAAAGAAAAGGAAGAGGCGACGAAAAAAATATATATAAACGTATGTATATATATATTTTTACTTACTTTGAAAGCAAACGTTTAATTGATTATTTATAATATATACGTGCGTATGTTATATACAAATATATTATATGTATACAGGTTGTTCCAAAATAGGTGTAAGTTCTTTGAAAGGAGTGATTCCTGGGGTGATTTGAAGCAACTATTTTCTTAGTAATAAGGCAGACTCGTGCTCTGATTGGTCGGGGTTTTTCGTTAATGTCTCGTTAACAAAGCCTCGGAGAATATTTTCGCTAAAGAAAACGTTGTTTTTCGAATTACCCCAGGACTTACAACTATTTGGGACACCCTGTACATATGTATATATCTTGAAAGCGTGATATAGCTCGATAGTCTCAGAGGCAGACGCACACGCGTGTCCAACGAGTGCATGAGAATTTTACCTTCGATTTTTCCGACGATTCTGTTTCCGTTATAGATCTGCCGTAGATCTTTTGTAACGAGCTGTCGCGACCGTGTTCGTTAATAAACGCGACGGATGTGTCGCGTCTATTTTCGAGGGCATGCGAACTTCGGTTCTTGGCAAACGTTCGATTGGAACGGGATCGAGAGTGCGCGCATCGTCTGCTGGGAAGAAGCCGTAAACATGTGCAACGTGTTCGTGTTTTTTTCTTTCCATCGATACAGTCCTTTGTATTCCTTTCTCTTTCGTGATCACGCGTGTGCGTCTGATAAGATAACGGGGGGTGATTGATGGTAAGTGTCCGGCAATCGAAAGATTGCGAAATTGGCGGGAAAGATGGCTGGATGTTCGAGTCGTGGTAAAAAATATCGATGCTCGGGGTGAATCATGTCCAATGGAATTGCAATCAGAAGCGTGGAGAGAAAAAGTAATTGTCGCGTCGGGGGATGGTAATCTATTTCGTAGAAATTCGTGTATTACCCACTTAGGCGTTTAATGTATCTTGTAATTGTATCAGCGTGTCGAGGCGATATTGCCAGTTTCGAAGGCGAACGTACGCGAAAATATAAAGTATAAAGAAAGCACGAACTTGGAAGAGGTGGCGAGTACTAACTCGAATATTGTAACGTAAGTTAGCTCGCCACAATATCCCTGATGCGATACACTATCGTTTCGAGAATCGTTGAAAAACGCGGCTGGACTTGATTCACTCCGACCACGAATTCATTCGATCGAACGGGCCATTGGGATCCGAGACGACTGTTCGCAGTTTCAACGACGATCAACGATTCGCGAGACGTTTCACACACGATCTCTCGCGAGAATCTTTTGTATTTTTGAAACGGGAGGGAGCGGCAAACGAGAGAGTAGTCCCCCTCCTGGGTGAGATTTTATGGCATAATAAATGGGTCGAGCGATGGTTTTTGCTCGATACGGAACGTGTCACATCACAATGTATATATACCTGAGCTGATGGAGAGCTCTTTGTACAAAGGAAAAAAGAAGGAAAGATAGAAAGAGACGAGTGAGAATGAGCAATTTCGGAATTAAAGAAACGTGGACGTCTAAACGGCAGGACCGTTCCAACGGGGAACATCTTGTCTCGCGGGGACGCGATTTAACGTACGGTCATATTCGATCGACGATTTCCGCGCGACGATAAGATTCACCAACACCGTTCAAGGAGTCGACGATCGTCGCGTTGGGATTGTTTTTCATTAAACTTGCGCGAACGCTCCCGAATATTGGGTCTCGTCGAGTCGATTAAACACCCGGAAAGAAAGAGAGAAGCTAGAATCCGAAATGATTCGACTAGATTCAGGGTTTTTTTTGTCCGCGATTCGATTGGTGCTCTCGATAAGGGATTAACGAGACTCGACGGATAAAAAGACGAGATTCGAAGGGAATTGTTTGTTCGTAACGTTAGAATCGCGATCCAAGTATTTGAACGGGAAAATTCTGTGAGAAAGGTTGTTAAGTGCGGAATGTGAGAGAAATTGAGACGTGAGAGGCAAAGATGATAAGTATGGAGAGGTTGTGGGAGGAGATTTTGTACGGTGTGCGACACGTCGATTTGTCGAAACGGTCGACGCTGGGTTTCTATGACGACGATTTATATAAAAACAAAAACGTGATAAGAGACGATTAATTCTAGTAAGATAATTCCTGTACGCTCGCCGCGAAAGGGGGAAGCCTTGCAGCAAGAATTTCGCGCGAATAACACTGATAATCAAATTGTATCGATAACGCTCTAATCGTAAACAAGAAAAAAAAAAAAGAAAACTGTCCTTGCGATTATGTAATAACCGTAGCGATTCCGTAAACTTACCTTGCGCGCGCCGAACTTTACGTGGAACCGGAACCAACACGCCATTCTAATCCTTCGACGAAGGATTCACGATCGATGGACAAAACACGCTGTCTCGATCGAAACGAAAAAATCTTGTTTGGCAAACAACACCGAAAAGGGAATCACGAATATCGGTACGCGAATCGTAGCCGGATTAATAATTATATTTAACCAGTTTTTCTAATATTGGCAGCAATATCGTCGCGGTTTATAGCTAGGGGGGCGGGGGGAGGGCAAAACTCAGGTTCCAGTTACTATGAGGAATATTCTTAACTAACGAACTGTTGTAACAGAGGAGAGCGAGTAATTTAAGTCGTTTACCATACGTCCTTACTGCGAAACCGAAGAAACATGGACTCGATTCCTCTCTTCTTTTATTTTTTTTTTTATTTTTTCGGTTTTTCTCGTCAGTGCTAACGATGTTTAAGTAGACCGCCCATAGGAGATAGAGTGATTAGAGCGGAACGGAGAACGCCGTAGACCAATATATACAATATATACACACACACACACACACACACACACACATTGTTACCCTAGGCATAAACAATCTCTAATCGTGAAGGAAATATCTCTTGACGCCTCGACGCCACAAAAACCGGGCTAGAAACGAGAAGCGACGAGAGGTTTTTCACACCACGAGTGCTTTTACTCGGCGAAACAGTAGAGGAAGGAACAGTACGAAAGATAATACGAAGAAATTTTGTAACAAGCAAAAGCGCATAATATCCTGGCAATTTACCCGTGTCCTTGGTACCAT